TGTACACACATTTGATTTGGCGAATAAATAATGGACAGACCAAGTTGTAAACTATAGGAGGTATTCATGTTTGCAAATGAAATGGTACCATGTCAATTTCAAATACAATTTCCACATTAATACACATAATTGGAATTTTCAAGCCATTTTATTTGTGAACATGAATAATCTGTTATTGTGTACAACTTTGTCCATAATTCATTTGCCAAAAAATGAAATGTATATGTTTACTGCATATCTTTGATGTCAGGAAACTATTAATTTTCAATTATTTTTATTTAAAATATCAATTTGTTTTTTGTTTCTTTGCATCTCCTTGTGAACCATATGTTTGATTAGAATTGTATGTAATGGGATTTTTTTGCGGTTTTTTGCAGCAGTACGGGCGCCGCAAGTTGTTTCCTTTGGGCTTAGTATTGGCTCCTACTAGAGAATTAGCTACTCAGATTTATGATGAAGCTCGTAAATTTGCATACCGATCTCGTCTGCGTCCGTGTGTTGTGTAAGTATTATTGCTGCATATGGAACATGATTATTAAACTATGAAACATGAGAATTTCTAAAAATCCAAATTTCATATATTTGGATTTAATTGAGATTGAAAGTTAATTGATTATTTATATGTTCTTATTACCTGTGAAATGCAGGAACTCTTACAAACTTACATGATAGTTCTTGAATAATAATAATTTCAGCAAATTCTTAAATACAAGCTAAGATTTTACAAAAGAAAATCTCATTTAAAACGTTCGTGAAGTACCCTGTTCTAATACACATCAAATCAATGTGTGAAGAAACTTCATGTCCTTAATGAATTAGATGTGAAACGCACTTCAGTTAACGCCATATATGTTTGATATTTTTTCTTTTCTAAGTCTAAAATTGTGAGCATGATTTTTGTGCAGGTTTTTCCCTTTTTTCTGTGCATTGTTTAATTAAAGAAGTATGTGCACTTTATGAAATTAAAAATCCATCATTTATTTGGAGATTGATTAACATTGGAAAAACTCTACTATTTTCTTTAAAGTTATGGAAGCAGTGGTAATCATTTGTATGTGTATATTGTATACATCTTTAAAGTTTTCTGTTACTCTTGATTAAATCAAAGTAATGAGTTTTTCCCCCCTATCTTGTCTCCATTCACCCCTTATGATACCTTTCAATTTTTGAATTCTTGTCTTGTAGGAGTGATGTTTGTTCCCACACATTCATTACCAGTGTAAAAGCGTATTGTTAGAAAATCATTTATTGATCTTCTAAACTTCACGGATTAAGCTTAAGTCTGTTATTTTTTTATATGATTAATAAATAGGGGAAATATAAAAATGCAACATGTCACTGATGCACAAAACGCAATATACAATGTGTCACACTTTTTATTTACTTACAAATTACACTCATTAGACTTCAATTTATTTACAGCTTGCTCCGACAGGTCACTGGGAGCTTACATGTGAGCTATAGTGACATCACTAGTGTTTATATTGAGAGCGTAGGCTTCCGTGGCTGGAGACCGTATTTAATTGGCTGCCCGGGTGATGCCGCTTCCATGGCAAAAGGTGCAGACGTTTTGGTTCTGCGAGCTTCCTCAGGGCATAATTCTAAAATCTAAAATTGTCATTGGTTTTTGTTTATATCACTATTATGTTCAAGTTCCTGATTGGATGAAACCTTCAACAGTTGATTAACTGCAATTAAGTGCAACTCTAAATAAAGCCAAGCATACACTTCAACTATTTAAAGAAAATATACAATTGTCATTAGTTGTTTTTTTTCTGTAATCGTATTTCAGCACCTTCCTCTACCGTACATAATGCTATGAATATGTTGTCATCACCTGATTCTCTCTCAATGACATGCCTCAATACAGCAATTGAGTCACAGTCCATTGTTTTTTCCGAAAGGGTTCGGGATCAGTGTTTTCATTAACTTTAATCTTCATATGAAGAATGTCCAGTCATTAGGTTCCAATAAAGGTTCCTGTTTGTACTACTTATCGTCTTTCACAACCTTGACACCAAAAATGAACTGGAGAAATGTATGTTATGGAAGCAGTTTGAAATTGTTTTAGTCACTCTTTAACAACGCTTTGGCACCAAGAACTGATGTGGTCATTAGCTTTCAGTCCATATCATTATCATTCATAAACATTGGTGTTTCAATGAGCATTTTCCTGTATTTTCATTTAAATGAATGATGCCCAGATCCAGTGGTTGAAGAACATTGTACAATTAGGTGGAAAGATCACCAATTTGGTTTCTGAGCTGCAGATCTGCAGGATGTGCAGGACATCTGTCCCGCAGCAAGAAAATCTTTATTTCTTGCTCCCATTTTTGCATCCAGAGCATACATGGTTGGAGGAGCAAATAATGCTGGTAATCCACACGCTTCTGTTTGCCTCGTATTTTGTTGTCAAATTTTTAAGGTGTTTAAACCACTGGATTTTAATTTTTTCTATTATCAATGGCAATTATCATTTTTTTCAGCTATCAGCTTTCACCATTAACAAAACTTACCCTCCGTTTGTTGATCTTCCGACCATGGCACTTTTCACCTTTGAAACACAAGGTCTTACTTGCCAGAATGTTATAAAGAAATCCTGTTTCATCAACAAAAAAGTTTTTTCTTTCATAGTCCTTGATAATTAAGTCCAGTTCAGGTTTCCATTTGGTGATGGTTTCTCCAAAAACTTTGACTTTCCCTGCACACTTGGTTATAAACAATATTATGTCAAGTCTTGGTGATTGAACCATTCATTTGATGTGATGAATAAAGTAGTCCGTACTTAGCTGCAAACTTGAGGGCTTTTGCTTTGAAAAAGTTGCCATTAAGCTGAATAGCCACGGCTCTCAAGTCAATAAACCACATCCCACAAGTTAGTCCAACTAATCATAGGACGATGATCTTACATATTTTTGTTTTCTTGACCTAACACTACATTGTTTTGCATTAAAAATTGGTGGCTCTGGTTTTAATTAAGTGTTTAATTGGAAACCATGAGTTGAAGCTCCATTGCTAAGCTTAACAAGTGTTCCCACATGTGCGTCAACACAAAGCAAAATCTCTATCTTTTTTTCAATGAACTGCAGTTCCTGTCCTTCTTCATACTATCACTTCCACGTATCTTCATCTATCACCTTTCACACAAACATCACAAGCTGACTACAAGAGACGAGACTGACTGTCTACAAAACACGCAATATAACTGGATACATCTGGAAATGGCTTACACCATCCGGAAACAGTTATGTGACAACATCTGCCAAAATTGATTCAAAAATCGGTTTTGACGAAAAAAAATTGGAAAAGTATGTTATAAAGGTGTAAAAGACAGGAAGCACTTCAATATCAAGTTGTAAATTTTGGAAAGAGAATGCATTATAAATATAGCATTGTAATGTAGATAAAACCATCAAAAGTTGATATCTGCCTGGTACAGACGCATAAATCACAGTATATACTATTGACCAGGAAGCATGAAGCTGCTGCTACTGTACTATTATGAAACTGTTTAAATAACCTCAAACACCATGGGCCTACATCAAAACGACCAGGACTAATGATAGTCTTGTGAATTTCTTCCCATGAATGTTCATCCTAAATCAGGTGTTCCCACAGGGTCAGGCTAAAGATCGTGGTCTTTCAGTATTTTGCAATTGAGATTAAAACATTGTATTGCAAGAAAAAGGGACTACAAACTGAGGATGGATAGCAGGTAATCGTGATGAAGTGCATTTAAAGGCTTGAATTAAGGTGTTTAAGTATGTGCGAGTGAGACTTGCAGAAACTGTGTTTAATGCACCTGGTGAAATATGCGAGAAACTTGAACGTGACTAAACTCAGATACGCAAAGTTAAATATAATTGAAAAAGGTGAAACTGGCCCCAAATATAAATTTGTGAAATCCATATTTTATTACACATACAACTTTACCATGTAATATTTTTCTGAGATGTAAACAAAGGGCTTTGTGTTCATGCCAGAACACTTGCACCATCCCTATTCTCTTGTCCTGTGGTAAAAGCCATATCTTGCGACTACATGCATCACGCAGAGATCTTCTCAAACTTGAATGCCTCTGGCAGTTTCTGCCACTAACCTATCGCTGGGAATCATGTGATAGTGTGTCTCACATTAGACGTGCGGACCGCCTCATCTCGTTATGGACTTTGGGTCTGGATGCAAAATCAGGCCTGGCAGCCACCTGCATTCCAAGGCTGTCATCACTTTTTTCTGCCCATGGGCTTTCAACTCTCCTTTAAAACTGGGGACAAAGATCAAGGGTGCTATTCTAGAAGGTGCTAGTGTTGCCAGGTAAAGCTGCAGGTGAGGCTCGCCAACTTCCGCTCATACAAATTGGCTAATTTGTGAGACATAAGAAGTCTCTTAAATGTTAAATTATTCATAATATGTACATATACAAAACTCCTTAAGGAAGCGTGAACACCGGCGCTATCTTTTGTAACGTTATGGCCCTGCTTGCGAACCGCGAACTCCTGCAGCAGCCATGCACATTTTACGTAGTGTGGCTGCAGTTCCTGTTTTAGTTTCTGGAAGAAGGTACTGCAGCACAGTGTGCCACAATAATGGTTTCCACGATGTTTTAAGGCCTTGATTCCTGTACTATAATCCGCTACACAATTTTCAATTTAAATCATCTTTGTAATGTTCCGAAACTGATAGTTAACATGTGAGCACATTGAAAATAAGCTTACAGAGAAATTTAAGGTAATCAATATGTAATCAATACACTCCTTGGAAATATCTTCTCAGAAAAATGAGAAATACTGGTTCTGAAGAATGTTTTGGACATGTGTTTCTATATCTAACACCAAATCTAATAACTAACATTTGGTAGTGAATTAAATTTTTTAAAATAATTATTACCTAAGGTTTAATGCATCATATACTTTTTATTGTTTAGTTATGGTGGAGCAAATGTTGGTGACCAGATGCGGGAGTTAGATCGTGGATGCCACTTGCTTGTTGCTACTCCTGGTCGACTGGTGGACATGTTGGAACGTGGAAAAATTGGCCTAGACAGTTGCAGGTAAATCAATTCTTTCTATTGTAGAGTAAAACTTCACTCATACACTTCTCAGGGGACTGACGGATGGAAAAAAATGTATAAGTAAAAAAATTTTAACAAAAAAGAATTCAATATGGAGTTTATAAAATTACTAATGAAAGTCTGTTGTTGTTATGCATTTAACCCTAGAACATGGTGGGTGGTTGGTGCAGTCCGTTGGACTCATGGCAGAACATTACCAACACTTTTGGTAATTGATATCGTGATTTCAAACTATTGCTTCCTGTATTTCTCTCTCATGGAGGATTATGTGTAAATTATTTCATATTTTATACCTATTTTCTTTTTTCAAAGTACAAATTGTTTTATCAGAATTTATAACGTAAACACCCATGAGAAGGGGGGGGGTGTCTGCGTTTGAAGGCGGCATTCACGAGGTTTTTATTACATTTCATTTTATATAGCTTTGTAATTATTATGTTACTAGTACGTTAATTAGTGTGTCAATTGATGTTACTGATGTAAATAGAATGTAACTGGTGCATCATTTTTCTTTGAAGTATTCAAACAAGCCTTGCATGTTGTTGTTGTTCTTATTATTATTATTATTATTATTATTATTATTATTATTATTATTTTATTTTATTAATATTATTATATTCCTGATACCTAAACTATACAACCAAATACCTAAAGACATTAAATACCCAAAACCCAACCACAAAGACTTAAACAACAAAATTAAATAATGGCTGCAAATAAACAAACCTTTGATGTGACAACCAACAACAGTGTATATAAAAGAAAGAGACTAGATTGAAATTCATAAACAAAATAGAGTAACCATAGAATATTTTCTGTGAAATTAAGAATGTTTATAATGTGTGTACCGAACTAATACGATATACTGTTACTGCAAAATGTGTTGCGACTATGTATGAATTTGCATCATATATAAATAACTATGTTAAGTTCAAACATAAAGTATGAATATAAAATATGTAAATATATAACATATAATAATATATTAGATCGGATTGACAATCAACAGTGTGTTCAGAACTAAATACATTGTAGTAATTTGTTGTTAAAATGTTATAACAACTACTAAATGTTACAATTACTATTATTGTTATTATTATTATTGTTATTATTTTTATTATTGTTATTATTATTATTATTATTGTTGTTATTACTATTTTTATTACTGTTGTTCTTCTTATTATTACTATTACTATTATTTTATTATATTATTATTATTATTATTATTATTATTATTGTTATTATTATGATGATCATGATGATGTCTCAAAGAAAGCATGATTAATATTGACGTGATGAGGATTTTTAATACTTGTCTAATGACTGCAAAGTAGATGATAGTGAGGAAGACAGACTAAATGTAACAAGTAAAGTGCAGGACAAGCTAGTTGACCTAGATAATTCTTCTGTGTGTGATAAGTGATTTTCAGCAGTAAAACGGCGAAGACAAATGACAGCAGCAGCAAGGTAGCAAGTAAACAAAAACAGTTGAATGAACCTTCCAGGGTAAGGTTTCGATTTATATTATTTGCAACAAATATTGGGCAAAATCTTTTGCTTCTCACATTTGGGAGAAGAAAGTTTACGAAGACAAAAATTTGCAGATCATATGGCAACTGTATGACATCGTTGAAATCGTATGATATTGTCAAAAAAAGGTATTTATTAATTTTTTGCTGACAGCGAGTCTGCAATCACATTTTGACAGTGTGTAAAAAGATGCAAGATGAGAAAAGGTGTTGTTTATGAATCCAGAACTGTGTAGAAGACTAAAAGCTGTGCGTGGTAAATGTAAACTAAATGTCTGTAAAAAAATTTTTTTAGTTACAAGGAAATATAACAAATGTAATATTTTAAAAGATGTCAAAAAAATGTAGGTTTTTCGGAAATTAAATTTATCCAGTCTCCAGTTTCCTATACACACCAACTCTGAAATTTTGCGAAGTGCTGCTACCGGAGGTACCCAGGGAGCTGCCTTTGCCCTACCACCCCATGTGATCGCGTGATTTTAGCTCCTTCAGCTAGGCTAAGTCAAGCATCTATACTATAATTTTCATAAACGGGAAGTCTCCTCAGAGGCAGAGAGTTTGCTCCGTGGGAACAATTCTGGAGCAGGTTGACTCCACAGGCTAAAATTCCTGGCACTTGGCGAAGGGGGCCCCATGGCTTCCTTTGATTCTGTTCCCTTCTTTCCTTTCTTCCTTTGGTTCTGCTCCCTCCTTTCCTTTCTTCCTTTGGTTCTGCTCCCTCCTTTCCTTTCTCCCTTTGGGTTTTTCCCTTCTTGCCTCTGTTCTTTTTCCCTTCCTTGCGTGTGTTTTTGAGTGAAAGTTCAGTAAAAAATGTATTTAGATCTTTACTAAGAGCATTCTGAAAAGTTAGGGCTTTTGATTCTTGATTAGTTCGTATTCTAAATATTCAATATTTTTGCAGGTATCTAGTTCTCGATGAGGCTGATCGTATGTTGGACATGGGTTTTGAACCTCAAATTAGGAGGATTGTTCAGCAGGATACCATGCCCAAGACCGGAGATCGACAAACTCTTATGTTTTCAGCTACATTTCCCAAGGAAATTCAGGTACATAGTGGATAAAATTTTTCATTATTTGTATTTGATGAAGGAACTTGTAATTCTTTAGCAATGTATCTTTAGTAACTGCTAGTGAGGGTTTAGTTTACAAACTTGATTATATTTTGTAAAACGTTTTTTCTTTCCAATTGTAGATGCTGGCACGTGACTTCTTAGACAATTACATTTTCTTAGCAGTTGGTCGTGTGGGATCAACTTCCGAGAATATTACACAGAAAATTGTGTGGGTGGAAGAAAGTGAAAAGCGTTCATTCTTATTGGATTTACTCAATGCTGCTGGGCTTCGATGTGAATTTGGTGATCAGGGAAACAGTAAGTATTTGGAAAGTCTTTTAGAGTGATACAAATGTAGGACCATTTAACTGAATTAATTTATTTTTTCATTGATTTTTTTATTAGCTTCCGATCACTTAACACTAGTCTTTGTGGAGACCAAAAAAGGTGCTGACTCTTTGGATGAGTTCCTTCACAATGAAGGTTATCCTGTGACTTCCATTCATGGAGATAGAAGCCAGAGGGAGAGAGAAGATGCTTTACATCGTTTCCGTACTGGACAAACGCCTATTCTTGTTGCTACTGCTGTGAGTATTGTAACAGTTGCGAAGAGCATACAGAACAATAATTATGTCTGTAGAGCTATTTGAAAGTTTTCAGTTATGTTAACTTTTTCCTGTTTGATTAATTTAAGGATGTAAAGGATATTGATAATATTTGTATTTCAAGTAAAGTCTGTTAGTTGATCTTTCTACTTGAACAAATTGCTGTACATCGATAACTTTTAATGAAATATCTTTAGCAAAGGTTCTGCCATGTGTTCAAATATTTAATATTATAAATCTCTTGGTAATCTGTAGGTGGCAGCTCGTGGACTGGATATTCCTCATGTAAAACATGTTATAAATTTTGATCTACCTTCTGATGTGGAGGAGTATGTTCATCGCATTGGTAGAACTGGCCGTATGGGCAATCTTGGTTGGTTCTTCTTCTTGCATTATTTTGTTTTATTTTGTCTGTTAGTGAGGCATTGCTTATTGGTGTTTTATTTTTCAGGCTTGGCCACTTCTTTCTTCAATGACAAAAACCGCAACCTGGTACGAGACTTGGTGGAGCTAATTCAAGAGACAAAACAAGAACTGCCAAGTTGGTTGCATGAATTGGCATCTGAACGTATGCCTTCAAGCAGTCGTCGAGGAGGAGGAGGAAAAAGGTTTGTATTACATAATTTTTTTGTTCACAATGAATGTTCATGATCTGTAAAATTAATGAATTGAAAATTAAACTTCATTCAATGATATTCTTTCTGACTTAAAAGTATATTGTTAATGCTTTCTTTCTGAGTACAATATGTCAGTGAGGCCTATTAACATGAAATATGTAAACAAAACTAATCATCAAACATGTTTTACTATAAAGAGAAAAGAAATGCAAACCAATATTGGAGGTTTGAAAACCCGGGTGTAGGAAATGGCATGCACTGGAAAACTCTCGAGCACACTGAAAAATACTGGAAAACAATTGGAAAATAATTTATCAGACGTAGTGTGTGTTCCAGTTATCAGAGGTCACTTTTCGTGTAGTGTGAGGTCTATCATTGTTTTCAGTCTTTTTTTAACACCACCTTGAGACTGAACTGGATGTTTTGATTTTCAAACCTTATTTTCTCTATTTTAAATATTTATTGTGACTTTTCTATAGCTTGATGTATTATCGTTGTGCTTTTTTGTTTGAACAGGTTCAGTGGAGGCTTCGGCTCTCGAGATTACAGACAGGCCGGTGGTGGAGGTGGAAGCAGTGGAGGTCGTCCTTCAATTGGTGGAAGTGGCCGGAGCTTTGGTTATGGCAGTGGAGGTGGTGAGTCTCAACTTGTTGCAAAGGCAGCATTTGTGTTCAAAACACTTAATTTATCCTTTTGATAGTGAGAACGTAATGAAGGGGGAACATGCTGTGCGTTAAAAAGAACCATGGTACTGTCTTGAAAAATAATCCTTTTAACACGATCACAATCAACAATATATGTTGAATAATTAGAGAAGAATTTGGAAGCTGCTTGCTCCAGCATACTTTTCAGGGCGGGGGCATCACTAATCTCTCAAGGGTGAGAAGGCAGTCCCATACTAACGGCCACATAGCTGCTGTAGTGAATTTCTACACTTTCCCAAAGGAATGTAGTGATACGTCATTTTGGCAACATGGGGGACATTGACAGCCAATTGTACATTGCCATTCATTGATCTATTACTGCGCCTTCTGCAATAATGATCGTAGGCCCGTGGTTTTTAGATAAATTGGTACAAACAATGAAGCAATATTTTTAGATTCTGTGTATTGTAAGATATTGCTTTGCATAATGAAAAGTGTAATATTGATTTATGATAGGAAGTTTTTGTGTTTGATAATATGTAGTTCAAAAATGCAAATTTCAACTTGGTGAGAATACAATGTGAACAATTATTGTTGTTATTTTATTATTAATACTCATTGTTTCTTTAGGTGGCTCCTATTCTGGCTCAGGAGGTGCATATGGCAGCAGCTACGGTGGAGGCTACAACAACAACAGTAGCAATGGTCATGATTGGTGGGACAGTTAAACTGTCTGCTGTAGGTAAATGTCACGTTTGACCAACCAAAACCCTTCTCATGTTTGTATTAATTGAAACTAGCAAATTAAGCAAAACAAAAGTATTTGGTAAGCCTGATGAATTTATTTGTTCATTTTGTAAGCGAGGTAAATATCAGAAACAGAACTTACTGAGATACCTCCAGTTAACTGTCAGCACATTCTCCATTCTGATTTTGAACTTCTAAATTAACAAGTGGGAATTTTAGCAAGGGCTGCCCAAGTCATGAACTTCAATGAACCATGTCAGAAACTACTTGCACTTTGTGTCTGTGTGTAAACTTCTAAATTACCATGTGGATTTAATGGTGGTGTCTCCTCTTATTCTGTTTATGTAATATGTGGGGAGGGTGTACTTCAGTTGACACAAATTTGTCGTCTTAATATTTCACTTAGTGCAGTTTTAAAGAGTTTATTCAGTATATATTAATTAAAAATTAGTAGTGTTTTTGATGGGCAAGAAATAACTATAAAAAGCCATGAGAAGTTTAGTGGTGTTTAACGTAAGTAGCAGCAGCCCCTACCTGCCTTGGGAAGTCTTCGCAAACAGCTGCCGGCAAAACCGGAGCATTAAACTGAGCAGCCTCTGTCATTTGCTCATATTGTGCCAAGTGGGAGAAGTTACTCCTGGAATACACTGACCAGGATTTCTGTTGTTTTGTTAGACTTTGCTGCAGGAGTAATTGAGAAGATAGGTGTACGTTGAGGATAACACTTTATCTTCTCTTCCCTGAGTATTTACTCTTGCATGGCAAAGAAGTTACAGTACAAAGGGAAGGTATAAATGAGGCTTGTGCCAAAATGGCCTGAGAGAGAATTTAAAAGATATGAGATGTACTGTAATATGTGAATAGTTTGGGGTACACTAGTTGCGTGTTAATGTTTTTTGAAAGTGCTAGAGGACTTGTTCGCAAGATATGGTGGAAAAGTGTGGGGGGAGAATTGAAGGTTTTATTTTTCTTAAGAATATAAATAACGAACCAAATAAGCTTTAATACAAGATTCCTAGTTAACGTACGTACGGTATTATTTACTATAAGTGCAATAACTAGAAATAAAAATGGGAATAAGACTTCATTAATGAAAGAACGTTTTTAGCCATTGCACAAAACACTTCTGAATCTCTTTTAAGTGGTTGAAGGATCAGTATGAAAGAAAGTATGTTTGTAGTGGGCATGGGTATCCTATACTCACATCTTTGTACAAAACTTACGGGTTACAAGGCAATTATACATTCATTGCTGCCTCATTCTATGTACTGTGTGAAGAGGCAGCATTTTAACATAAAAAGATTATCGGAAGGAGGTTGTATTTGAAACATTACCACCTTTTTTGAACATATTTACAAAATAAAACTGTAAGAAATGTAGTAATTATATATATACATTCATATTTTCTTGTGGAGATGATAGTTTAATTCAATGAGAATAAGAGATAATAGCTAGACTATACCATTATTAAAGGGGTGTTGAATTGGCAAGTTATCCCATCAACCAGTGCAGAGGTGATAAATGAATGATAGTCTGTACGTACGTCAGCATGACCTCACTGATAGTTCCAAGATTGAGGCTGAACATGTGCCCAGCCTTTTCAGAAATATTCCATAAATGCATAGTAGTTAATTTTTCCCTTCTGTGGTTCCTTGGAGATGCCCTGGTGGCATTTGCCTTTCTAATTACATAAAGCATCAGGGTATATAATTTTTTAACATTGCAATTATATATATATATATATATTGGTAAGCATTAGGAGCTTGTAGTCTTTCACTTGTATTTTAATTACACACTTAATGTTTTCAGTGTGTTTATATCTTATGAATTTTTAGTAAGGAAACAGTAAAATTGTATATTCCAAAGGAAACCTGTTTTTGTGGATTTTTCTATCGAAGTATTTTGTTAATACTTAAAAGCTTTAATTGAATAAAGCCTGACTTATTTTCGTATATTTTCTCAGAATGTACCAGAATTGGCCAGACAAGGAAAGAGATCATGCGCACCTAATGATTTTAAAATCTTATAAATCAAATTGTTAAGCAGTATTCTGAACTATAAAATAGATTTTTTATTGAAATACTTTTTAGTTTTACACTTATGTTTTTGAGAGGTGTTATTTTGACACGCCAGTACCCCAAGCAAATATTTCACGCCAAATATAAAAGACTATTTTTTTTTTAAATTAAATATTGAGAGTTAAAAGGTGAATTATAGGCAATTAGGGGGCTGTTGCATTTCACTTTATATATAATATTCAAATATACATATATATCTCTAAACAATGCAAACAGTGTGTATTTCTTACAGCTCTTAATTTTATATTTCAAAGCATATTCATTCTTACGCATAAGTTTCTTAAATATCTAGTTGAAATTAAAATTTGCATTTTAGGGGTAGGAATTCTTGTAGCAAACATTGGGTTCTGGATAATGCTTTTATCAACAAAATTTATTGTGGAGGATTTTTGGGCAATTTGGGCTTTGTGTAATCTGTTAAGTTGTGCTAAATAACCATTTTGTCCTTAAAATTTTTGTTTCTGCGTAAAGTATTTGTATTTACATGGCAACTAAGAAATTAGCTGCCTAGTTGCAGGTGTAAGCTGGGTATTGGACTTGTCCCTACAGTGGGATGTTGTCTGATTTCTATCAGAGAAAAACATTGTGCCTCTTGTGGATAGTTTCCAATTTCCAGCATTATGATTGTAATATGTAGAAATGAAATTCCTTTTCCTAGAATTTCAAAATATCACCTGAATGTGCATTATTTAATAATTTACAATTGCATGGTTGTAGGTAAGTGTATTGTTTTATAGTAGATTGGTATGCTAGTTTACAAAATACTGAACTTTTAAACAATACCATCTTCTTTGCAGAAAATAATTTGTGCACGAGGGAAAAATTGTTTTTCTTTTTTGAACAGGCACAAAATGTTTGCAGAGCACAATTAAGCAAGGGGAATTGTTCACTCTTTGTGGATATGATGGAACCTTTTGATAAATATTGGGTGCAGTATTTTGTAAATATTCTGGTTTATTAGGGCCTGCCCTGAGGTCTGTTTTCAACACATAGATGACCTCTGTTGTTTGTTGTAAACGTAGTTGTAAGACATCTTTGTGGTTTTGCTTTCTGTCACAGGATATCTTAAGTTAATAACTAAATGTATTTGTGAACTTATGCATTATGAGGGATGTCAAACTTGGAGAAAAGCCAGCCAAACTGCACACATGTAAAGCATATCACAAAAATGTATGGAAAGTTCACAGGGCTATTTTTGATGCATGGACTTGATAGTTAAAAAGATTCAATGTTTGGTTGGGACCTGGAGTTTGTGTTGGCTTTTTCTTTTTATGAATGGGTGCAGCTCAAGCAATTTCCAGTGATAAAATTATTCTGCCCCCTGATTTCGTTTCCTCTTTTTGCCGTCCCTGTTTGTGAAAAAACATTTAAAGAACTATTAAAATCGGTCTAAGAATACAAAATTATTTGGTAGGCTGTGGAATTATGTTGACATCAGTTGAAAGAAATGCAAGATTTGTTGACCTACCAGTTGCTTTTAAAAAAGCGTGGTGCACAGTTTTGTGGTGGTTTGTTGTCCAGAGAGTTGTTACAGGCATTTTACTACATGCCAAAATCCGATCCGGGTTTTAATGATCATGCTCTCAGTGTCAACCACATCATGTTGAATAAATTGTTGAGAATAAATCTATCTTTAAGTATCATAGAATAGTGGTCTTGTAATGACTGAAATGAAGCAGTATTTTTTGAGCTCACGGTTCTATATAACAGCCAATAGATACCAAAAAATACATTAACTTAGAATGTATGAGATTGATGTAGTCTTCAGAGACAATCTAAGTTTCATTTGTTTGTCTGTGTTTAGAATTTAAAAGGGAGCTTGTGAACATGAATGTAAGGTGCAATCTTTTCAAGTTACATGGTATATGGATCATATAGCATGTATGTAACATCTGCAGAACATTTGAATCAAAATGTTTTCCAATGGAAATTTTGAATTTTAAACACATGACATTTGAGAGAAGTGCGCATGCACTTTTTAATTGTATATATATATATTTAAAAAAAAAATTAAGTTGTTGGTATGTTGAAAGGAAGAATGCTGACTGCATGTGTTGAAATAATGTATTTTCTCTCTTGGTCTTGTCATGGTTTGACTAAATATATCAAGTTCAAACAGTACAATTTAAAATCATATTTCGGAAATATATATTGTTGTATTTCAACATATGCAGTACTGAGAAAGTTTTAGACAATAGAACTTAGGAAATGTTTTAATGAAAGATGCTCAAAGAATAATGCTCGCTTAAATTGCAGTCTCGTGTTCTGCTGGGTTGCAGTTACAGTGTCATATACGTATAAAAGAATTGATGAAAATTGCCTTGAGTTGGAATAATTTGTGATGAAATGGTTCTGTCATTCGGTTCAAATCTTCCCTAAATTTGCTATGCACAGAAAATTAGTTTACAAGAGAGTGGAAAATTAATTGTATTGTTATATTTAAAGTTAATTTTACTAGTAAGCTTAACTCCTTATGTTATAGCCTGTGTGTTTTATATAGTTCTAATGGGGTTCTTTTCTCATTTATTGCATCTTTTAAAGTTAAATTTGCACATGTTCTGTAGATCTTCAGATTTATTTCATATATAGTATGTGTATAACCCTAATTGGTTTTGCATGTTTGTGGAGATTTTAATGTCATTCTGTCATGTGTGTATATACACGAATTTTCTGTGATATTGAAAACTCACTGGGAGTAAGTAGAATAGAAATTGTGTTGGTTGTGAACTGGCAGAAAAGGTTACTGATTGTGGGTTATTAGGAAGACTTCTGTAAGAATGAAAGTTCTCTTATTAAATTGTAATTCAGATTGTTAAATTTCAAAAAATTCATTGGAAAGATTATTTTTTTTTTTTTTTCCCTTAAGAATCTCTAACAAACTACTTACTAGTTTGTTTCCGTTGGATTTTTCATCTTCAGGGAATTACATTCACCAATGCTTCCATTTTCCAACAATTCTCTTTCAAGAAATGAATCTTTCTTTCTGAGGGAGTGGAGGTCTTACTATTTTCTAAATTCATCACTTACCTTAAATGATCCATAACAAGATTAATTAATGGCAATGCAGATTTGATAAGGGCTAATGTGTTTGGTGGATTATAATTGGGTCTGGCCCGTCCGTGTTGTTTCATAATTTGAGGACGTAGTCCCTTCAAAGGCCACAAGGCTTTTGACTTGCATGTTGTTCGTCCCTCAGCAAGGGTTGATCAATGATAGAAACGTGAATTTTAATGTAGGTGCTGCTGAAAGTGTTAGTGACGTCACAGGTACATTTTGAAATGTTGACTCCAAACTTGTTGCCGTGATGGGTAGCTCATCTTAAAGATTGGCGGTGCTATTAACTTGTTAACATGCAAAGAGTTCTTGTAACTCTTTCCTTCCCTATTAGCCACTGCCAAAGAACAGTCCATGTCTTTGTGTATACCTGTGTGAATGGGTATTGAATTTCATAGTACTCCATTGCGTGAATGGTTCTTTCTAAACAATTGAAAAGGAATTTTTTTCCCCTTTTAAAATAATTTCTAACAAAAAGTGTGCCTCTGTCATGTGTTTTTCTTTTGAGGTAAGAGGAATCAACGAAATGAGTGTGAGTGTGTATGCATGTGCGTGTGTATGCGACCTTACCGTTGAACAGGGTCGAGAAATAAGTGATTTAATATTTGTACCTGTGATAGTCTCAGCTCAGTGCATCATTCTGATGTCTGATCAATGCTGCATTTTGTCTTATTTGTGTTAATACTGTTTTCTAACTTAATTTTGTGTATGGAGATGAAAACTTTGTTTGTAGATAAATTGTCTTAGTTGTGAGGAAAATATTTATATTGTGTGTGTTTAGGCAGAATAGATGATTCTTATATATTTTTAATAATGTTGTCTTCTGCCTTTTTAAGTAGAATATTTATTATCACTTGAAATATTTCTTTGATTACTGAACACAGCTGTGACTGCAAAACAGTGTTCATTCAGATGTAATTTGTTCACCACGACTGCTGATAAGAAGGGATGGCAAAAATATTTCAGTAACTCCTATTTCTGAAGGTAAATTTGCATTTACAATAATTGTCTCCTTGTTTCTTTGTAGTATTATTATTGTAAGTTCTGAAAAAGCCAGATTAATAAAAAGATAAAATTTGAACTGTTGTATTTTTTCATATTTTACTTCCCGAGTATTACCTCCTCCCAGGCTTCTGTAGTTAAGAATCCCTCGTAGAAGTTCCATTTTATATGAATGCCTACTGAAAAGCATAGGGCGTTTTCTTACGTTTGTACCGCGGAAGAAAACATTTGAATTTTTCATACGCGCGTTGTGCCATCTTTTGTTTTTCCTGTATTGCTCTGTGTGGCTCAGTGGGTGGGTGTTCAGCCAATGGGAGAAGACCACGAATGTCATGGAGCACAGGTTTCGTGTCCGTGCCATGTATGATGAGCTCGGTAGTAAGTAAGGACCTCAGTTAGAGGCTGTTAAATTACTTTAGTTGAGACGACGTAAGTGGAAGATGAATTTCTTGCAGCGGTTTTTTCCGAAAGCTTCATGGTTAATTTTGTTAGTTTGGGATTCGTTGATTGATGGTAAGTGTTCCCAGGAACTCCATAACCTGTCATTGAAACTGAGTACATAGGCCAAGGGCTTAGTACAATTTCTGGTTTTGATTATCATAACATTGTGTGCACCAGTTTATGAATAGAGGTAAAAATTCTTTTGTGTTACATTTAGTTTCCGAGAGTACGACTCAAGCTGAAGTAAACAAACATTTGGAGATGGGGAGGGATTTACTAAGCAGAGGCCAGTTTCAAGATGCCCTTTCACATTACCATGCAGCTGTTGGTCAGTATAATACCTACACGATCATATTGTTAAGATTTTTTTTTTTCAACAGTATGATGTTTGACTTTAATGTTTCTAGAGGGAGATCCAAATAATTATTTAACATATTTTAAACGTGCAACTGTATATCTAGCCTTGGGCAAAGCAAAATTTGGTTTAATGGATTTAGATAAAGTCATGGAATTGAAACCAGACTTCACTTCTGTGAGTATCATCAGTATGATTCTTTGTTGGCGGTAGTTGGTGCATTTCTCAGTAATAACTCCTTATGTCACTTAGGCGAGACTGCAACGTGGACTTGTTCACCTTAAACAAGCACAACTTGATAAAGCTTCAATAGATTTACTGGATGTTGTAAGTTTTTGTAATATTTGGAAAATCATTTGGTTTTGTTCAAACCTTTTAGTTGCATTTTAATATTAATTTTTTTTTAGTTGGATGTTGATCCTGGAAATGAGGAAGCTTTGATAGCCCATGACCGTATATCACTTGCTCAAAGAGACATAAATGCTGCTTATTCATACAAGGATCATGGTGACTATGGAAATGCTGTCAAAACAATTTCCAAAGTTTTGGAGGTACAGTAGACTGACCACTATAATTTGTGAGTGAAGTGCAAATTATTGGGAATATATTTATATGTGAATTTCACTACTTACTTTTAGATATGTCCATGGGCTTCAGATTTACGTGAATTGAGAGCAGAGTGCTATGTTGCTTTAGGAGATACAATGTCAGCCATCTCAGACATTCGTTCTACAACAAAATTGCAGGCTGACAATACAGCAGGCTTTTATAAACTTGCTCTACTATATTACCAATTAGGGGAAGCTGAAGAATCATTGAGGTATGTAAAGTTGCTATATAACTAAGAATGGATAATATATAAATATAAAATATTGGATTATTGAATGTGGTTTGAGAGGCAGGTTTTAGTAATTCTGTTAATCAGGCTGCTAGAAAAGACAAAAAATTGTAGTTTTGTGCAATTAAATTGTAGGCAGTCTTTCTACCTAATTGGATCCTTGATGGAGTAGTACTTGTAATTGTTTCTCACTTTTTTCTTTTCTATCATTTCTCTGCCAAACATCTCTTTAAAATGTCATCCAAGTGGGTGATTAAATGAATGTGTATTCTGTAAATTACAAAATTGAATTATAAGGGTTGTGGCTGATGATAGAAATCTTATAGAAAAAGATTAGTTATTGTGTGTAAAAGTTACAAGGATTTGGAGGGTAAATATAATTTGGAGATCAAGCCAGTGTGGCAGTGTATTTGATATTCTTGCAGAGATATATGATAATGATATATCACAGCGAATTCAAGACATTTTTCTGTTACCTCAGTGATATTTATAGAATGTAAAAAATGCTCAAGAACAAAATTTCATTATCATATATTTAAGGTTTTTTGAAATTGGTTACAAAAAGTAAAGTACAGTAACATAAGGATTCAAAGGTCTCTGATATTTTTTTTTGTTAGTAACTGTAACTTTTTCTTGCTTTCTTTCTTATCTGAAGTGATGGGAGCAAAATATGCAGACTGATGCATTAAGTCGAGAAAGAAGTTCCAAGCAAGCAAATAAGACGCATACAGTTCAATTCCTTGTTCTATTTACTGAATGTAATAGTGAGTCATGTATTGTTAATGTGATGATAATTCACAGAAAATATTCAGAATTAGATATAATTTCATTGTGTATAGAAATATTGCATAGTGGCTGGAAGTGATTGTGGGAATATTTGAAGCCTTAAGTAACTTGAGAGGAAAATTCTTAATTAATATAGTAAGACCAAATGTAATTAATGTATATCAATCATATTTAAATAAAATGTTTAATTTTTAATTATGAAATATTAATTTATATTTTAACTTAAAAAAAATCAATGCTCTGAAATCAAAATCTACTTATTGTTTATTTTTCATTTGAAAATAGTGCTGGAAAGCAATAAGCAATATTTCTATAGTCTCGCTGTTGTGGTGTGAGTAAAAAAAATTCTACAGTGTGATTTGTTAGAAATTTGTGACATTAGTTCTTAGTTCATTTGCTGTGGGTTATTAAAATTATTTTAATGTAATTTATTAAATGTCTTTCATTGTGAGTTATTAAAAACTTTTGGTGTGGGTATGACCTCTGAAGTTTGAATTTCGTTGTGAGTTATTAGAAAACTTTTGTGTGGATATGACCTCTGAAGTTTTTTCCTTTGAAATAATTAAGTTTCCAAAATGTATTATGATGTGATCTTAAGCCATTGTCTTTCTGAAAAATTATGATGCAATTTTTTATTTTGTTTTTGTTATTGTGGCACAGTGATTTAATATGCTTCATTTAATTGACTTCTGACTTTATTCATGTATGCAAACAACTGAATTAGACATTTTGAGGTAATATGCCTTTATAAAGGTTTGAAATCGTACCAAAAAAATGGAAACCATTTATTAATTATTTTACAATCTTTGTTATTTGTAACAATTTGGGAATTTTTTGGATTAGAAATACTATCTCATAGAAGCAACAGCAATTAGTGCTATGAAAATATCAGATTAAAATGTTTTGAATATTCTTGTACAAGATTGGAAAGGCATATCATAATATTTTTTATTGACTTTTTATTTCTTTTTATATGCATATATTTCACTTTTCTGTTTCTATTGCACATAAACATTCAATATTTTACCTGCTTGCTTTTGTACTCATTCTTAATTATGTGTTTGGTTGTACAGTTTTTGTCCGAAGCATGAACATTGTAGTAGCAGGTAGATTCACCTGGGGTTCATCAGTGGCACTTTCCATTGTAGAGTTGTAAAATTAGTTTGCTTACAACTTATTTCATGTTTTTGTAGAGAAGTACGTGAATGTTTAAAGTTAGATCCTGAACATAAAGATTGTTTTCCTCACTATAAAAAAGTGAAGAAAGTGGACAAGCAAATGCATGATGTTCAGGATGCCATCAATAACAAAGATTGGTCAGCGTGTGTAGATTCTGCAAGCAAGGTATGTGAAGTAATGGATATCATGTAATTGGATGCAATATTTTTTGTTATATTGTGTGTCCAAATGTTTAAAAGTTTTAAGGCCAGTTATAATCACAAAATTAATTTTTAATTAGATTCTGAAGACTGAACCGTCTGTGCCCATGGTACGATTTCATGCCAAAGAGAAACTGTGTCACTGTTATTTGCATTCGGATCAAACTTCATTGGCTATTGAAAACTGCCGAGATGCTTTAGAAATTAGTAAGGAACCAAACATTTTGTGTGATAGGGCAGAAGCGTATATTAACAGTGAAATGTTTGACGATGGTAAGTGACACTATTCTACTATTATCAACATTATTATTATTATTATTATTATTATTATTATTATTATTATTATTGTTGTTGTTGTTGTTGTTGTTGTAATTATAATGATTTTTTTTCTTTTTTCTTTCTTTATTTCTTTCTTCCTTTCTTTCACTGATTCAGGCCTCTGAAGACCATATCTTCAGAGTCTTAAGGCCTGACCCAGTGTCACTTTTTAGGTTGTCATTACTATTCATGGCTTTTCGAAAAGCTTTTTGTGCCAACCACAAGTTAACCCTTTAACCGGTAACGTTCACTTAAATGCTGACTTTTTTTGAAATATTGGCTGTGCTGTGTGTCGTATCAGTTTGAACTCATGGTTAATCATGATTGAAGTGTTGGTTATGATCATGCTGTTGAAGATGATATTTTCTTATCCTGAGGTTGTTGTTTCTTTTCAGAAAAATGTCATTCCACAGTAACTGATCATTAAATGATAAAAAATAACTCTTATATTTTAGAGGCAAGATATACATAATTTGAAATCTTATTTCTTGAAGTTTTAGGATATGTGCCTTGTATCAACTCTTTATTGAAAGAGGATTAATTTATTTTTTATGGATTTAACCAAATCTAGTGTTAGTCACAAAATAGATTTTATATTTTTTCTTGAACATATTATATACTGGGTGATCAATTTAAAACGCATCCCACAGCAGGGAGAGAGTATTGCACTGGCAACTATGAGTGGTTTGGATAGGGCGGGCAGTTTCAAGCAGGTAAACTGTCGGGAAGTACGCTTAATTCCTTCTCCCCTAATGCCATCCAGAGGTGACTGTCGTGACCACAAGTTCAAAGAGAAAGGCATGTGCTTGCTTGTTTGGTATAGAAAGAAAATTGTATTGACAAGAACAGTGATTCCGTTGTAAATTGTTTAAAAGTGAAATAAGCTTGTTAGTAAAATAAACATTAAAGTAGATTTGCTAACATTACAACATATATAATATTATTTGCTTGTTTTAGTTTCATAACAAATATGCACCAGAAATGTACATATGTGTTATACTTTTCTGTTTAAAAAAATATTAATAAATTATAAATTCCAGATTTGAAGAACAAATGTTTGTTATTATTATTGTTATTATTATTATTGTTGTTGTTGTTAAAATAGTTACTTTACAAATAAAAATAGTCAAAAAAGTTTCTCCGAAGTTAGTGCATAATAATCACTGGTTAAATTGTCAGTACGAGATAGTCACTGTTTGGCAATACATCACAGCATTGCTTTTCACCTCTTTATCTCTATCTTATAAAAAAAATGTTTTGTAAATTCCCCGGAAACAAAAATAAGAAAGCTAGAATTTATTATGAAGAATTGGTATTGAAAACATGTAAACGTCTCGAAAAATGTTCAAAATGCTCTCCATTTGCTAACAATTAAGCATTAACTCACTTGAGAACATTTGCTATCACCCGATGTAAAGTTTCTTCATCAATAATGTGAATCGCTTCCTTGACGTTTCATTGCATTGAGATAAGTGGACTGGGTCGCATAAACTTTGCTTTTGAGACATCCCCAAAGATAAAAATCTGGTGGGGACAAATAAGGTGTACAAGGGGGGCCTCAAACCCCCTGAAATTATTCTATTCCCAAAAAACTTTTCCCGGAATTGCATTGTCGACTTCGCAGAATGTGATGTTGCTCCATCCTCCTAAAATCAAAAATTTCTCTATCTTTTTCAAGAAGGAAAACAAAGTTTCTCAATGTATTCTGATACATATCAACCATTATTATTTCTTTGAAAAACAATGGACCAATTATTCTGCATCGAGAAATGATACAACATATTTCAATCTTTTTATTATGCAATGGTCTCTCTATTGTTTTCTATGGTATCTCGATACCCCCAGAGACTTCTCTTTTGCTGGTTAACATAACCATCCAGATGAAACCAAGCCTCATCTCAAGGCCTTCGCTAACAATTCACCAATTACAGAAATTAATAGGAGCAGCTTAATCAGAAATCAGGTCTTTTACCTACTCTCGCATTAAAGTCTTCTCCTACAATAAGATGGTCGTTTTATTTGTTTTGTCAATATGTTTCTGCAATAGCTTATATAGATCTTGTGTTTCCTCCTTTTTGCCTTCATCTGGGGTATGCTGTCCTAATATTGTTAGATGGCCTCTGGAAATCTTAACTCTTAAAGATATCACTCTCTCATTAATAAAATTATAACTTTCAATTCTTGATTTCCAGCTTTTATGAATAAGGATGGCTATTCCTGCCCACGCCCTTTCATTTTGCCATACACCACCATAAATCATTATTATATATTATGTCCAGTTCTTTTGTCCCTTTCAATTTTTTCTTAGTTTCTGTGATGATGGCAATTTGTATTTTTCTCTCGAGCAAAATCTTCTCCAGTTCCATCTCTTTAGACCCTAATCCTCTTACATTCAAAGTTGCTATCCTTAATTCTTCCGCAATTCCTTTATTCTTGACCTTTTCGTGTGTTGGTTGTCATCTGTTTTTGTCCGGCATTATCTTGTGAAAATAAGTTTAACTCCGAAGAGGTTACCAGCCTCTCGCGAAGTTTGTGGTGTGATAGGGCTGCTATCTTATGGCCTTTCCACCTGCAATCATGCATATTAACCCCGCATCAGGGGTTGCCTCTTCTATGGGTCCTCTTGTGGTGTTGTTGGGGTCCTCTTCTGGAGTACTTCTTCGTCTGACCCCTCTCCATCGACCTGTCTGGCAAGGGTGGCCCTACCAGTAGCTACGCTACCGCCAGCATAGCTCTCAGGGTCATTGGGGCACTCAAGCTCCACCACCAGCGTCAAGGTCATGTACTCCCTAGGTGGAGTCCAGAAGATTGTATTAAGTTAATTTACTTATTACTTTGCTCTCTTGCCATGGGCAGATTCATTGAATTGAATTTCTTGCTTCAGAGCACTGAATTGAACTCTCCAGAAACATGTAAATTTGTTTATTATTTATAAAAGAAATTAATATATGAGTTCAGAAAGAAAAATTGACACAGAAATATAAAAGCACCCAATTTACACAATTTGAATGCTTTTTTATTTCTGTGTTAATTTTTCTTTCTGAACAAATGTATTAATTTCTTTGTAAATAATGAACTATTTACATTATTGTGGAGTGTTTCTATACTTTAGCAATGCAAATTTTTTCCTAGATTGCATTTTTCCAAACCAACTTTTCAGTGCTTATTGTGGCTTAGCCATTCGAAAGATCCAAGTAGTTTATTAGAAATAAATTTTGCTTAAAAGCGTCTTAGGAGCTTATTTTCGAAATTTCCTCCCTAGACATCTTGTGTATATGTGTGTGCATAACTTAACGAATAATGTCATTACCAGATTTTTTCCAATCTCCATGTCTGTACTTTATGATAATATGAAAAATTCAGATGATGATGTTTGTGTCACAGCCATCCACGATTATCAAGAAGCCCTAGTAATTGATGAAAACTTTCAAAGAGCAAAAGAAGGTCTTCAGAGAGCACAGAAATTGCAGAAACAAGCTGAAAGGAGGGATTACTATAAAATCTTGGGAGTTCGTAGGACTGCTACAAAACAAGAAATCATCAAAGCATACAGGTGAGATGTATTCCATGTAAACAATATTAATTTGTGCAATACTGATGAAAAATGTCATTACCAAATCTATAATGATAATTGCGTAAAATGTAACACTATTTGGCGGGTGCTCTGGTAAAAGGGAATATGTCAAGTTTTTGTCCAAAACGATGAGTATGCTGGGGGCTATACTACAATACTATCATTGTATATTGGGGGATAAGTGGCCTTCCAATTTTGCTATTAAACTTTAATGGTAAAATTGAAATGTCACTTATCCCCCCATACACAATGATAGTATCGTACTAAAGCAGTGACGTACTTGATTTGGACAAAAACTTGACTTATCCCCTTTTACATGCACACCGGCCATTTATTATTGATATTAAGTACCTTTAAAATACCACATATATAATGCAGATTAGAGACGTTAAAAATTGATGGAATATTGTTTATCTATTACATCATTGTTGCATAATTTTTGTAGAAACTGAAACGTCATAGTTATTTCAATAAGTTGTATCACATTTCTTTGTGCTTGTCATTTGAAAGACACTATTCTTGCAGTGACATTAGCAATAGCTGTGTTTTTCTCAGTGATGTAATGTATCCTTGTTACTATATACTTGGAGTGAAGTAATGAAGGAGACAATGTGTCAAAACAGCTAAATGCTTCTACCGTGCATTTATGACACCCAACATCGAATTTCACCTAATTAATAGAGTCCTATAGAATACTATCGATATTGCTTTAAAAAATTTCCAAAGCATAAGACTGTTATCTAGTATTTCCTTTGAATTACCTGCAAAAGATCATGCAGCTTGCTTGTGACACTGGTAGTAAACCATAGCTACACTACCTCTAGCAAGGTTCCAAGTGTCAAGCACAAAGAATGGTACAATTTATAGATTTACAGACAATTATAAGAGGATTTAGAGGTTAGTGTTCTCCAAAGACATTTTTGTTTTATTATAATTAATTGTAATTAAATAGGTATATATTTGTCATCAGATATTGGGTTCTAACAAACTATTAATGAAAAATTATCCAAAATTTTAATATTATTATTCATTGATATTCTATAGCAATATGTCTTAAAATGCATTTTAAACATATCTGTGAGGTGTTTGTTGCAGAAAAGCAGCCCAGAAATGGCACCCTGATAATTTTCAAGGAGATGAGAAGAAAATAGCTGAAAAGAAGTTCATTGATATAGCAGCAGCAAAGGAAGTGCTCACTGATCCAGGTATTGTGGATAAAAAGATGAAAATGATTTCAAAATTGATTCAAGAATTTCTGATTATTGACTAAGTTATTGACACACATTTAAGTCTCATTTCATGTTTTTCAATTTGGTGTCTTCTGGTCATATAATGAATATAAATAACATTTTATTTATTTTATAAATATTGGTAGAGGAAATAAATACATAGTTTTTAAACAATAACTTTGTATTTTAAGTAATAATTTTGAATTGATTGAGAAGGTATTCTGTTTCTCTTGTGGCATATGTTCTAACATGGCACCACTGTTGTGGAATCTGACTTTTGGGAGGATTTAGTAGCATTTCTAATTAATAAATAATATAAACAGTTTTCATATATTTCTCATTCTTATAAGTATTCTTAATCTGTGAATATAGTTTTGCTAACATTCTTATTATAATTATCAATTCTTGTAAGTATCAATCATTCAATTACTCATACGTTCGGATTAATTGCATCAATATACTTGTATCTCCTTAATAAGTGGTCCCCTTAGCCATAACAACCAAGTTTTTTGAAACTTAATTTAGTATTCCCAAGACTTGTCAAAACCTTTGTTAGTAACAATAAGTATTAACTTTAATCAATTACTACAGACTAGCGGCCAGAGTTCTGGGCTGAAATGAGTAACAAAATCTCAAGCCTGAAATAAGCAACCAAATACAGTGAAACCTGCCGAAATGGCCACCTTGACTGAGTAGTCATGTCTATTAACTACCATTTTTTTCTGTGGAAATGATTGATATTTCTATAATACACACCTAAAAATTTGCATCTTTCAACAGCCAGTCAGCCCCGCAGCCTGCTCCATTTCATAGATAGATCCGTTTTACTCAGTCACCTTCAGTGATTTTGAACTGTATTACAGTAGGATGAAATAATGGAAATCATCTTTTTCAACTTAAATTTATTTAGAAAGTTTTTAATGCCAAAAGATATCAGTGTAGCATCGGTCGGTAGGTATATATCTTTGAAATGTCATAACAAGTTCTAAACTGTTTTTGAAGGTATTGGGAGGGGGGGTAAATGTTCATGTTTGTGAAGTAGTGTGAGTCTATGAGCAATTCGGGGAGAGGGGGTGTAGGATTGGGAGAATAAAATATCTGAATTCTGTAAATGGTCCGAGTAAAAGCCTTTTTTCATGTCTATTGTAAAAATAAATGCCTTTTGCATACCTATTTTAGATAAAATAAATGTCTGAAGTTGTGGGCTTTAGTTATTATGTAGTGATGTGGAAGGCAGTTTGACTCCTTTATCAAAGTGACATCTACAGTCTCTCTTCTGGCAACGGTTTAATTTTTGTTAAAAGTTAAAAACTGATGGTTTCAAAATTAAACCTCTAAAAATAACAACATATTTGATTTGCTTAAACCAGAGTTTTGTCATGCAGTTTGCGAATCCCTTCTTCCCTTCTGGGAACCTAGTGATGGCTAGTGAACTGTGAAACCGAACAGTTGACAACCATGTGAATATCTGATAGTCATGGACATAATATTTTGTGGGTCAGCCCTGCTCATAGAATTTCATTTGGAAGTTAATTTGCATTCATGTTTTGTTCAGTGGGGTTAGAAATTGTGTTTTGTGAATTCAAGGAAGTTTGACACTTGCCGAAGGAAGGCATGTTGTCCTCAAAAACAAGAAAAGTTTCAGCAAAAAACATTTCCTTGCTGGCATTTTTGGAAGTGAATTTTGTGAAGTTCTGAAACATACGCAGCTAACTCATCTAAACAATCATCTTTTAATTTTTTTTTTTCCGGGGGAGTAAAATGTATATGACAGATTTACCTATATTGTATAATCCAAGTGTAGTTTGTTCTTTAAGTTGTAGTTTGTTGTTTTTGGTTGTTAAATGGATTTTACTAAATCCCTTTTTAGTTTATGGTAAGTTGCACAATAAGACCTAATTTAAGCTTCCTGGAAACTCCTAATCGTGATGAAGCAGCCTCTATTGACATCCAATTTTTGCCGGAACCATTAATCACCACCTAAAACTCGTTTCACTGTACTATAAAACCCCCTCTTAAACTTTCCAAAGGGCCATGAAAAAATTATCTATATTGCAGGAGAGTGTAAATAATGGAAATAAATTTTATTTATATAAAATGTAGAACATTAATTTTCTAATAGAATTTAAATTTAATGAAAAATCATAGTTCTTTTTGGGCATTGCATATCAAAATATATTCATTCTACCGTGTTTTTTTTTCTCTTTTTTTTCTTTCAAGAATACAAAATTCTCTTATATTGAAACCATTTTATGATCAAATAAACACAACAGCTTTCTTAAAACCAAATACAAAAAAACAAAAATTCAAAAAAAGTTAAAAACTGCATCCAGAAAGAAAGTAAAAATAGTGGTAACTACCAAGTTAACAAGATTGTGAGAGAAAAGGAAATAGCGTGGAAATAATGGTGCTCACTATCTGTGATTGCTTCAACAAGATAATCGATTGATAAAGAAAGAAAGGGGGGGAAAAAAGAAGGGAAAAAGAAAGAAAAAAACAAAAGAATTGAGAAAATTGATCGAGAGAGAATTTAAAAAATTGCCAGTCACCTCTGCTTAATGCAGTATTGCAGATTCTCTGCATTATTAATAACCTGGATAACAGTGATGTTGGAAGTGAAGTGTGCAATTATATACTGTACACCTGTGTTGCTAGTGACAAGTTGGCATTGTGTGAAACAAAGATTCTGATGTACTTTGATCACACTTGGTCATGTATTTCTACAGCTTGGAGGAATGTAACAAACCCTCAAGATCTTTTGTCATTCCAACTCTTTTTGTGTTTAAATAGACAGGACATAAAAGGTTAAAAGGTAGGAAATTTTAATTTCGAAAGTGTAAATGCGGGGACACTTTTAGATTATGAACTGAAGGAAATTGAAGGGACCAGTAAAAATTGATGTCAATGGCAGTAAAATGTAAATTCCAAGAATATAAAAGGGGAGTTTTACTGTATGCTTGAATTTTGAATATCGGAATATTGATCTGGAAAAGTTAGTTACAGCATTGAATTCTTCAAAATGCCTGTTCCAGTGTCTGCCATTCTTTTCATTTCGGCATTGTGTATCAGAGAAAACTTGATTATTGCTGATTTACATTCTCAACATTCACTTTCATCATTAGCTGCTTACTCCTCTTTATCTATTATATAAAATATACATAATTGTTTATTTAGGAAAGAGTGATGTTATTGTACTTGCATTAAAGACGAAATGACCTTCCCCAAAGTTAATGGAAGATGTTGTTACTGTGTAAAAATACCAATGCCTGATTCCCAATTTCGATTGTTACTCCAGAATTTGAACCAGTGTGAGAAATACTGTAGGTCCAAATGTAGTACACTGTTACACACTATAAGCTGCATACAAATGCTGCAGTGTTTATTTTTGTGGAAATAAATTTAGAACAATATTTCTGTTTTCTTACCTTTACTTGTACCAGTAGCATAGGATCAGGGGATGCTAGGGTGAAGAGTAATTCTATGAAATAATCTGGGAGACAACAACACATGATCTGAAGTGTACTGTGGATGGCTAATTTATTGTTTTTTGGATAGTTTTAATAACAGTTAAGGTCAAAATGAGAGTCAGCCACCTTACCTCAGCCAATCCTTATCAAAAAGAGATGAACATGTGAAGAGTATTACCATATTCACCTACCATGTTTGCTATGGTCACCATTTCTATCACCATTGTTGCTATGGGTAGCTGTAAACAAATGGATTGACATACTCCCATCAAATTTCCAGTAACAATTTAGATCTTCAATTACGCAAAGCAAAATGATGCTATTAGAATAAATTAAAAAGCATTTATTAGAAAAATATATAAGCTTTAAGAAACATGTAATGAATTTTAATGGGTTTCCTCATCTTTTGAAATATTCGTTTCTGAAAGAGTGCACGCTTCAATTTTCTTGTAATGTGGTAAATAAGTAAAGTAATTCTTTACTTTTTACAAGTTTAATCCCTCCCCCTTATTTGATATGGGTGATCCCCAGAGATAGGATTGCGGATTGGTGGTTGGCTCTTGTTTTGACTTAAATTGGCTAAAACTATCTCATTTTGGCTTATTTAAAATTAACTAAAAAGCAGTAAATTAGCTGGTTGTAAATCACTGCATATTTTTTGTTACTGATTCACAGACCATAAAGTATTCATTAATGATCTCTAAATATTGTGTGGATAATCTTACAAGAAGGCCATTAAGTAAAACATTATTTCTATTAAAAGTGAATATGAGTAAGCTATCGTCTCATTCATTGGTTGCCGAAATGGTTTAGTGACAGACAATGACACATGTGCAACTTACTAGGTGCCCCTCTCCCCTCACTGCTCCTACTACTATGGTGATTTCTGCATTTTGAACACTAGCATTAAAGGGTCAGAAGCAAGATAGAACACTTCATTCACAAGAGTGCAGCTTTCTTGAGAAGGTCAGTGGTTTGTCTCGCTTGGGATCCCCTACTTAGAGATGAGCAAAGCTATTATATAAATATTTAAAAAGTTGAATTCTCTCTTAAATATGTTATATAGTATTTCAATGAGAAATGTACATATTCTTAAGTGATGTCATTATCTTGGGTTGTGAAAATTAGAACTAAGCGATTGCAAGATGTGCATTACTAGGCATATGAGGAACACTCCATAGGTTTGAGAATACTATAGTCAAAATTGAAATAACAAGTTCTTATCTTCACATCTTGGCGAAGTACTCTTCACCTACATTCTAAGCTATGTCCCATTCGATAAAACCATTTTCCAAATGCCATTCGCCACACTTCTTTTGGAATGATATAAACATAATATCCATGTACTGCTCTGCCACTGCAGCTTGAGCTGACTCATAAATAAATTTTTTCCTTTCACATTAGGATAAACTAAAAAAGTCATATGAGTTCAGGGCTGAACTGAAGGGTGGATGAGACAAACTTTTAACCCTTAATTCTACTAGAAATTCAGTTGTTTTTCTATCTGTGTGGAATGAAGCGTCATGGAGGAGGAGGATTCCATGCTGGCCTGGTTTTTGAAGGTTCTTCTTCGACCCATCAAAAAATGCGGGAAAGCAAATTGTGTACTATCTCGCAGTAACTGTTTTGTACCTTTAGTGGACACTTTCAATACAGCCACTAGCAAAGAAAAATGAAAAAATTGCCAAATCTTGTTGGTTTCCTTACGTTTGTCAGGGGATCCTCATTTGGGAAGGCCCTCACACACACTGATGATTGCTGTTTCATGTCCAGGTCATATTGATTTTTTTTTCTAATCATTCTTCACTTAACTTATCCAGTGTTTAATGAAAGAAAATAAACATTGGCATGTGAAAGACGATAATCCCCAAACGCATGCTGTAATCTTCCGAGTCATGTTTTCGTGACTAAACTGGTGTTAAAATTGTAAAAGAAAAAACCGCTGTGAATTGCTCTCTCTTCATGTCCATTCTTTCTCACTCAGGAACTACATCTAGGTAATTGAATAGTCTTACGGAATTACTTCTTGCCAAGCGTGTTCACATTTGTGTGTGCGTGTTACTATCAATGGAAAGAGGATCATTGTTGCTGATCATTCTCAAAGCTTTTAGAGTGAAATTTGTAAAGAGAAATCAGAGGCAAATACATATCCCGCCGAGTTTGTGAAAGTAGTTTAGTGTGCCTGCATTTTTGTTGAATTCGTATGCTCAATTACTTTATAGTAACTTGTGACAATCAGATGATAAGAGGAATATGGCGATAATGTCATCTCTTAGAATACATTTAGACTATTCCTACCATAAGTTTAAACAAAAAATGTGAAACCGTTTTTGAGAAAATCATTTTTTTGTAAATTTTTAAAATTGCCCATTTTGTTCGCAATTTTGCTCGAAAACTACTGAAATTCTCATAAAATGTACAAGACTTTAATGAAAGAACACACTGTGGAGAAAAAATTTATTTGAAGGAAAAATATCTATCTTCAATTTTGTATTTGTGCAAAACAGGTGAAGATAATGGGACAAGGTGACAAACGGGATAAGGGTAAACTGAGACTAGATGGACGTCGGGAATAAATGGGACTAGGGGACAAAATGAGCCAAGTGGGCAAATGGGTACTAATGGGACATGAGGACAAATAGTACGAAGTGAGACAAAAGAACAAGGGGGACAGATGAGACAAAAGGAACTTATTTATCCAAAGATTAATGAATACCTGCAAATCGCTAAAATATTTTTTATTATGGATCATCTTAATGGCCGTTGCTACGGACACGCTCTTAAAGCATTATTTAGACGATTGCTAAGTAGCCAAGCATGTGTTTACCGACATAATAACGAAAAAAATAAAAATCCCTGACACAAAATTACTCGAAAAACAACTTATGTTTTTGAAAATTGGAGGAGGCCAGATTTAACTCAAAATTTCATCCAGAAAAATCCACAATCGACCTACATTTCACATGTCAAAAATAAAGATCATTGATCCCTTCGTTCTCCCTCAAAAAGTCAACATTTACAAATAAGCGTATTTGCAGATCTATTGTATGTGTGTAAAAAACAGCAGAAAGTGTTGGGTTGAATAATGTTGCATGTATATGTTACTCTAAAGTTCAAAATATGACTACTGTTTAGGAAAACTTTTCAGCATTAGCCAGGCAGTGAGGCAGCTATTTGAATGACTTCACCCGGCTAATGTTGGCATTATCTAAATGCTGCAATCTAAAGTAAGGTGATCGCCTGAGTGTGAGGTATCTTTTTGTGTGTTCGGAAGAAGTATTTTGGCATAACATGCATTGGAAATTGTGTTGCACTGACTGACCAATGGGCACAGCCTGATCACCAACTCTGAAATGTGAAGCAAAACATCGACTGATCTATACAGTGAGGTTAGATTAGGTGGTATGGGGGGGATTACATCTGACACAGTGGAACCCGAAACTACATGCCTCCTCTTGCTAGCCATTGAAACTTCCTATGAGCAGTCTGCTTCCTGTTTATTACCTAATACCTGCTATTCCTCATCAGCATAATGTGCTTCACCTGTCCTTGCCACCTCTTGTTGCCTAAAGTGCATTTCATTCATTAAAGTCTGAAGTATGCCTCAAAGCTGTTCCTTCTTTGGACTTTAATACACCCATTTTGGTATATGTTAAAATTTACTGGCTGACATGGGAATTAGCCTAAGTTTCAGACGTAGGCTGTAACTTAAACTCAAAAGAGAGCAGTCTGGATAAACACAAACTTTTGTTTTTTCCCAGGCTTACAAATATTACAAGCATGAGCAATATCACTAGTATTGCTCTGCCTTTTTCTTTTGTAACCACATTAATTTTATTTAATGGCTATTTCTTTCCTAAAATAATAGTGGTTGCTTCCCATAATACAAACACCCCTCTACAATGAAATGTCACTATAACAAAAATTCATTTCTGTTTTACGATATCATTTCTGGGATTCACCAATTTTGCTGTGGATGTTTGTAAAATAATGTGACTGTGATGAAATTCACACTTCCAGTATAATGAAGGTATTCCGGTTTTTTGCCTTTTTGCCTGAGGTTTAAACTTTACTTTTTCAAAATATAATAGAATTTCATCTTGTTTTACAGCAAATATTTTATTGTTATTGTTATTATTATTATTATTGTTGTTATTATTATTATTAAAACTATTCTACCATTGAAGACCTTTTCCGTTCAGGAATGTGATTGGTCAAACATTGTCCTTCTTCCAGTGCTAACATTAGTGCTGTTAATTGGAGAGGAATGCAGTTAAGAAATATTAATCAAGGTTATGATTTTGTATCTCGATCATATCATTTGAACGATTTGAAAAGTTGGAATTAAAAATTTGCTGCAAAATTTCAAAAAGCTTCCTATTACTGTACTTAATTATAATTTGATGTTCTTCTCATCTATTAAATATTAATTAATTTGTAAATTTGTGATGGAGTAACATTGATAGTGCAATGATACTGTAATCGGTGTTCTTAAGAATTGACTTCATTATTATAATGTTATTTCATATTAACATTATAACAATTCATTATACTGACATTTAAGGTATAAGTGAACTTAACTTTTTTCTCCTTTTTTCTCCTATTGGATTTGATGTCCTCTGAAAATGTATTCTTGTGAGGGAATTAATTAACAATTCTATATTGCATGTTGAATTGGTACTGTCTTTTAATCGATTGTAACACTGATTGTTTCTTTTGTTTGTTATATAGAAAAGAGGGAAAAATTTGATCAAGGAGAAGATCCATTAGATCCTGAATCGCAGCAAGGTCAAGGCTTTAATCCATTTCAACATCACCATTTTCACCATGGCAGCCCATTCCAGTTTAGATTCCATTTCAATTAAATTGCAAAGTGGCAAGTTAGAATATCCTGAAATGATTGAAGAAGTAGCCTCTTGTATACTGACTTTCATTACTCTAGCTGCAAGAACAGCGCATAATAACTAAAAGCACAATGGCAGGAAGTATTCATGCTGTTGTTTGAAATACTTTTGTCTGTACCAGACAGCAATGTGTTCAGTGCAGTATCTGTGATGCATTGCTAAGTGTTACTATAGTTCATGCTTTCTTAACCTATCTCTACATTAGTTTGTTTCTGTGTTATTCTTCACCTCCCTTTTTTTTGTGTGGCCTAAACATGAATTATAAATATAATAATGGCCTAATGGGTGATATTGTACCCAAAGGTTTTATTCTTTCCAGTTTTAGAAATTGTTAATTTGAATTGATTTTGTAAATGTTTTGGTTTGGTAGAGTAGTTGATTTCTTTACATCTTTCAAAAAGTTAATTTGCATATCTTGTTCTCACATGTAAATGTTTTGCTGAACTGGCAGGCTAGTTCAGAAAGTGATTCCATCCACAATACTTGTTAAATCATTCAATCATGTATAACATGAGCTTCAGAAAGATAGGAAATCATTCTTCTGATATAAATATGGAAATTTGTATTTTTTTAAATATTAATCTATTCTTTTTTCAATTCTTTATTACATTCCAAATTATTTATAAGTTTCAGTGCTCTGACAATTAAAAAACATATTTTAATTTAAAGTGCAGGTTTGATTTTTTTTTTAGAGAATTTAATATTACTCAGCATTACTGTCTTGAAAGATCTTTTCTTGAAATTCTGGATCATTTCAAGAAATGTAAAATAAAATGCACAGTTCTGAGCAGTGCTTATGGACTCATTCAAGCTTTAACTACTCTGACCAAACTGAGCAATGTACATAATGTTATATATAAATATATATATAGATTTTATACTAAAGTTATTGTGAATATGTATGTATGCAGTATGAAAGGTACATAAATTATTCAGTTGTGGAATGAAATTATGGACTTTGTGTTAGAAAATGTTTACTGGCACAAATATGTTCACTGTCTCAAATATAGTTTTGAAATTTATAGGCAGTACTTGTGAAATAAAAAAATTGAAAGATTAATTTAATATTGTGAAAGTGCATTCCTATGTATTTGAATGTTCAGAATCATTGGAGAACTGTTTATCTTAATTTAATCAGATAGCAATTATACTGTGCTTTCTGTGTAAAAAAAACACCTAATAATATTAAGTACATAAAACATATCAAATTGTCTTAGTGATTAATACTCTCCATGTCCTATCACCAGCTTCAAAAATTGAACTTTTTCAATAACTTCATTTGTCATTCAAGTTTGTGTATGTTTTAGTTTATGCTCAAAAAGGTGTTTTCATGGTGTACCTCATTTCTTTTCCTAAACCAACTATCTTTCTATACTTTGATTTGATATAGAATTTATTTCAGTGTTTAAGAAATGTACATATAAACCTGTAAAAAAAATGACTATTTTTTCCCTTAATATAAAGGAAATAATTTTCTGAACATCAATTAAAGGAAAAAATAGTTAATTTGCCATGACAATCCGGTTCATTGTCAATCTTGCAATTTTAAAGTCTGTAGATATACATGAACCACATAAATTTATGATAAACTTCATGCTTTTGTTCATACCACGCAATAATTTGTGTGCTATCTGAAGAAAGTCTGATTTATGAAATTGAATTGTATGTATGACATCTTTTCTGTTGAACTTTTTTGTATTGCACCAAAACGTCTTTTGTTGTGGTGTGGCAATGTGCTGGATCTCTGCAAGCAGAGTGGATTATAATAAGGTGAAAAAAGTGTTCTTTTTATTGTGAATTTTTATTAAATGTTAATTTCAATTGAATGTTGACAGTTTTCTTACTTTGTTCACGGGACAGTGAACATAGAATACAGACTCTTCAGACTTTTTTTTTTCTTTTTGAGAAATTTCAGAAGCTTTTTTCTAAAGGTGCTTGTAACTTTGATTTTCAGCGCAAATATCTGTACTAATAAGATTGTTCAATGAAAGTACCCCTCTGAAAATAAATGTATTTTCATTGAAAGTAGTAAGCAAAGTTCAAAGAGAGAATAACTGTGACGTTCTCCTTCAGAGATTGATCTCTTTGATTGCACTTGCAAGGGAATAGAAATTGTGAATAATAATTTTATTTGAAAAATAATTTTTTCAAGAGGTTTTTTACTAGTCAGATACTTTAAAGTACAATACATGTTACTTGAAGTAGCTTGATTTGTACAATGTATATGCCAGTAATTGTGTATTTTCTTAATTTTTTTTTTTTTTAGTGTAATGCGAGAGTGTAAGTTGATTTATACAAACTATTCAAAGCACGTTGTTGAATAAAAATCCAGTTTTAAAAGGTGTTTTCTTTATTAAAAATGAAGGCTGCAATGGCATTTTATGGTGTCATTTTCAATTTTTTTTTTTACTTAGGTTACTTATAAAAAATTGGTGTTAAGCACTACAGTAACTTTGAAATTTAAAGCTCTTTTTCACAAAAAATTTTTGAGTTTTTGAAAAACTTAACTTGAAGTTATTTGAAGCACTTTAACTCACAAATACAATAGTGTTTACAAATTTCTGGAAATATTAACTGAAAGGACTTGCAAGAAATGATTGAAGAAGAAAATTGGAGCCATGTTTGAGAAAATTGTGTTTGAGCATTTTTGAAAATGTGGAATTTTGAGCTAGTTTTCACAAAAAAACTGGAGTTTTCAAGAAACTTTATTTTACATTATTTAAAGCACTTGTACTCATAATTATAATAATGTAATTTTTGAAAAAAATAATTGAGCAATATGGCATCAATGTCAGAGAATACATTTAGCACTATCCCTACTAAAAGTTAAAAGAAAAAAATTGGACCAGTTTTTAAAAAAAACTTGTTTTTGTAATTTTTTAAAATTGCACATATTGCTCACAATATTATGCAAAAACTACTAAAATGTTTTAAAAAATGTGCATTACCCTTACAGAACTCATAATGGACAACAAATTTTATATGAAGTCAATCTTTCAATCTTTAATTTTATAGTTGTAGGATGGCGGCGGAAAAATTCAAACTATGGTATTTTTCGAAAATTTAGAGTTAACATTGAAAATCGGACCTACACCACCTTTATAAGTGTATTTTACTTTATTCTTGCAAGATATTTAAAGAAAAAATTTGGAGCAGTTTTTGAAAAACCTTTTTGAAATTCTCCGGGGGGTTTCATGTAAAGTATTCTCAAATTTTAAAGACTTTTTCAAAATCTCAAATATTCGACTGGTGCCAGATAGCCACGAGTTTCTTCCGTTTGGAAAATATCATGTATGGTCAAGGCGCTATTGGTGTTCACAGACGGACGGACAGTAGGTCGTTTTTCCGCAGTTTTACATAACTTTCCCTACACTAAGTAAATGTACTATGTTAATTACTATGTAAATAAGTACGTATACGGAAATTGAAAAATGAAGAAACGATATTTTCTTCACCTATTTGTGATTTTCGTTTCCTGCCTTTTTGTTGGTGGTGCAGTGGCACTACCCTACAAACCGCCACGAGTAGTTCTCGGGTAATTTTGCCAAATAAATAGGCACTTAAAAAATTAAAAATTTGTCTCCAAAATCGCTCCAAATTTTTTATTTAAATTTTCTTCACGTATGGATTAAGTGACGGCAAAAAGTACAGTGCTAGTCCAATTTTTGGATATCGTTTGGTTTTTCGAAAATAGCAAAAAGTGAACATTGCAAAACTACAAATTGAAGATGGAGATTTTTCCTCAGATAAAGTACGTTTAAAAAAACAACTCTTTAAAAAGATAACGTACAGTTTTTTTAAACGAGTTCGTACGTAATTTGCGCTTGAAATTAAGGAAAAAAAAGATTTCTCAAAAGCTGCTCAAAATTATTTTTTTCCCACAGATAGAAAAAGTATCGCGTATAAGAATAGCGCAAGTCTCATTTTCGTTGAACTCTTTTCGAAAATCGCGAAAGCTTAACATTTGGAAACTACAAAATGGACGATAAAGATTTTTGTCATAAACAAAATGTTCTAAAAAATAAGCTCATCAAAGGTCATGTACGTTTGTTTTAAAAAAGGAATAGTTTTCGCCAAAATTGTGTTTTAAATTGATGAAATATATAAAAGTGTCCCACCAACTACGGGCAACGAGAAAAATCCTTGGAGATCAGAAATTGATCCGAAGGATTTGAAAAATAATTAATTTAATCTTAATTATTACTTACCATTAAAATGCCAGTTGTAATTTTTTTACCCTATTCTACAATTGGTATTCTCAATAGTGATTTATTTCTTTCAAGCAATCCCGAAAACTTAATTGAAATGTTCGCAACTATGCTCCAATGGATATTTAACAAGTTCATTGTTGAACGGCGTGGTGTTGGTGGCTATAAGATAAACCAATTTTATTTACAGTCGACCTTACAAAATAGTCTTAGAAATGATTCAAAACCTATTTGATGATCCATATTTTTGTCCGTGTTGCGAGGTATAGAACATACATTTTTTCACTGAAAAAAGTTCACTTATCTATACTATATCAGCTTTTCACTAGAAATTCGTTCCATTTTATAGTGTTTCAAAATTTTAAATGAGTAAAAAGCAATACAGTGGAACGTCAATTATCCATTTTTTAAAATAAAATTTAGGTTCGCTTTTTGGGTAAACATTTTGAAAGTTGAAAAGGAAACTAGTGTTTCCAAAACTTAAAAGATTTATTTTAGAGTTTGACTACGGACACTAATTTATACAAATTTTTGAAATAAAAACACTGAATCGTACTATTATAAACCTTCAAGCTTTATTTTCCTGCACTTCGTGTGAGGCGGTGTCAATATTCGGAGGTCGTTCAATAAGTTCTTAGAAAATCCAAGGTATGGTGCACGTTGAATTGAAAAGGAATTTTTACCAGTAAGCAGCACTTTTATAAACGCGTCCGAGGTTAAGAAAGAAATAAGGGCTTTATGGGTATTTTTCCGCAAAGAAACATCCTTTTTAAGATTTCAAAACTGTTTTAAATCCTCACTAACATAATTTTTCATCACAGCAATTACATTAGACAAATTATACCACGAATACATTAAGAATTTACCACAAATCGTGGTGAATATCTTCAGAATTATTATGTTTTGAAGGAAGGGATAAGTTCGGTTGCTGGATCAGCCACTGCTACGATGCCACGCGCTTTGGTTGCCGAAACAGTGCTCTGAAAGAACGCGTACCGGTTTTACCTGTGTTTCGTTGATGTGTTAGGTTTCAGATTTGTGGTTTTAATCACGTATTATTTAAATGTAGTTTCTTTTTACTTTCCTTCATTTGGGTTTTAGATTGTGATAAATTTATTAATTTACAAAATGTTAAAATATATTTTCTTTTTCAAAAGGAAATGAATCACCAACATGTGGAAGAAAAATTACATTAAAGATTGATTTCAATCTCAAGATATTGGTTTTGAAAAACATTTTCTAAAAAGTGATTTGATAGAAATTGTGAGAAACTGTTAAAGATAAATATGAAGGGTACGTAATCGATGATATCGCTATAGCTGCAGGACGCACTGTTCTCCGATTGCCTCCGTATCATTGTGAACTCAATCCGGTTGAGAAAGTTTGGGATGAAGTTAAACAGAATGTTAGAACGAAAAATACTGATTTTAAAATAAAAAAATGTGGAACGTATCGTTCACGATGCATTCGAAAAAGTGAGCATTGGAAAAATTATGTTGAGATTGTAAAAAAAACTGGAAACTTTGCAAATGGGCATAGTCTTTTGTAATCGTTTGTCATGGTGTTGCACTCAAAATGAAAAGAGGTTTACATTTTTTGAAAATAAGACATGAGAAACATTCAAAATGCATTACTACTCTTCAGGAAATGCAAACAAGTAGATAAAATATTGTTCTGAAGAGAAAAGGGTT